ACCCACAAAATGCTATTCTTAAAGGCATGCCACACCAAGACAAATATGCCATCTGAAGGGAAGAGGCTTAAGTCTGGTCGAAGACAGATACTATAATTGATTTCTGACACTTTCATAACCAGCCAAGTCTCTGCTTTAAGGTTCACAAGAACAATCATGTTAAATAGTAGGTTTGCAAATCTTTCTCATTCTCACAAATTCTGGATGCTTGGAGGGAAGAAAGTCATTGAAGGTTTTTTCTACTGGGCTCGAATACGGAGATACTATATGGAATAAACAAGTAGTCAGAAAGCACATGTTTCTTTAAATGCCCAACTGGTTCCATGTAGCAGCCTGAATCACTGCTAATGTGACCTGTCCCCAAACCCTTCTTGCAGAATACAGTGTGCATGACCCAGGAGGCCACACTTGGACTATGTTCCAGGATTCCACATGGAAATTCTGATACAAACAGCACCAGAAGCTTGGCTAGTTGGCCTCACAAATTCTCTGACTTCTTCCTGGGAACCAGATAATAATAATAATAATAATAATAATAATAATAATAAAGCAAATAGCTCATGCTATGTCATGAACCCTTAACTGAGAGTCCGCTGTTTCAGTTTCACGCTGCTCCTGAGTGAAGGGTGCCAGGAGGTGGGTCACCGTGTAAGGACGCCAGGAGCTTAAGGTGCAGGCTCTCATATCCCAGAAAGGTTGCACCCAGACAGGAGTCAGGTGTGAGGGGGGGAAGCTCCCAGGTCGGCTCATCACAGCATAAGTACCCATCGCTGCTGAAGCAGCATAACCTGGGTCCTAGCCACCACTTCTCCTCTCAGCTTCCATGAGAAAGTGCCCCCAGAGGAGCCTGGAGGGAGCCTCCCTCTCTCTGTAGCACAAGGAGCAAACTTCAGGACACCCCCATGCCTCTGGATCTTTTCAGGCTAGGCTTTAGTGGTGGCCCATCTGGGGCTTAGGAGGGAGCAAGGATGTACAAGAGCTGGGATCAGGGGTGGGGTGCAGAGGCGAGGCTGACTTGGGGGGCTTCTTTGGCCTAAGTGGCGAATCTGCAAGTTGAATAAGATCGAGCAGCTGAGAGAGAAGCTCTTAAAGAGAGCCGGCTGGAAGGCTGTGGTGGGTGTGTGTGAGCTCACGTACCACGGCCCGTGTGAACACGTGCTTTTGCGTGCTCTCTCCCACACGTTTGTAGAAGAGAGGCTGTGCGGTTATTAGTTAAGGATACGGCACGGGAACGGCCTGCGTTTTCCTTTCATCCCCCGTGCCACTACCTTCGACCTGGTCCCTGACCCTGGGCCAGGCAGGCACTGAAGGTCTGCAGCAGGAGTTCTCCCGCTGGGGCACGCATCAGAACCACACGGCAGGGGGGCTTGCTGACGGCTCCCTGGGCCCCACCAGGGGTGTAGCAGCACAGGCCGCACCGCTGCTCGGGAAGGAATCTGGGAGGAGGACAGAGACAGAAGCCCTTCCTCTAGCCCCAGCCGGCACCAAGGAGCACAGGGGGTGGTGAAGGAAGCCAGGACCAGGGACCTACGTGTGGGAGAAGCAACCGCAGAGCTACCCCCCCATCTCCCCCAACTTTTTAAAAAACATTTGTTATTTATTTCGAGAGAGAGAGGGCGCACACGTGTATGTGTGCATGGGCTGGGGAGGGGCAGACAGAGGGGGGATAGAGAGGATCCCAAGCAGGCTTTGCCCTGTCAGTGCAGAGCCCGACATGGGGCTCGAACTCACAGACCACGAAATCGTGACCTGAGCCTAAATCAAGAGTTGCACAGGGCGCCTGGGAGGCTCAGTCGGTTAAGCATCTGACTTCAGCTCAGGTCATGATCTTCCCATTCGTGAGTCTGAGACCTGCATGGGGTTCTGTGCCGACGGCTCAGAGCCTGGAGTCCGCTTCACATTCTGTGTGTGTGTGTGTCTCTCTCTCTGCCCCTCCCCTGCTTGCACTCTGTCTCTCAAAAATAAACAAACATTTATAAAAAAAAGAGTGGGAGGCTTAATCGACTGAGCCACCGAGGCACCCCTCCACCCTCTCGATGCCACCACAGCAGCGATCTGCGCTCTGTGTGCTGGACGGGGGCGCTGTGCACAGCTGAGAAGTGGGGTTGACAGCCAGAGACTGGAATGGGGGTAAGAAAGAGGGCAAAGGGAGAGCTGAGAACGCAGAACAGCAGCGGGTGAGGTGTGCGTGCAGAGGAGGAGGCAAGGACACCCCAGGGGCTCCCGGAGGAGAGAAGCCCCAACAACTCCAGCCTGCTTGGGATACAAGAGCCTTGCACGCCCTTGGTGGGGGACGGTGACTGGGCCCGGAGACGCCTCCTGGGTAAGCTCTGTCTGCTGGCTGCCTATTTCACACGACGGCAGATTTTGCCTGATCTTAAGGAATTATGTCAGGGAACGGAGACACCTTCTCTGTTTTAGCACCGCCATGGGGCTCAAGCAAGACCGACGAAGTCAGCCCTGCAAATACGGGGTGGCCCCCTCCCCAGCTGCTGGAAGTGCTCAGCCAGGTAAGGGCATGACCCCGACACTCAGGCTGCTCCTCACCAGGGTGGGTCTAAGAGCCCCTTGTGGCTCGACAGCACCCCATGTGAGAGCTGTGGAAACCCAGCCGGGCCACATCGAGGCCGACGGGGGTCCTACCTTTTGGTTAGCTTCATGACCAGCTGTTACTGGTTGAACTGGATACTCCCCAAATTTCAGAGGTGAAGTCCTAACCTCCAATACCTTAGGAATGTGACCTTATTTGGAACAGGGTCCTTGCAGATGAAACTCAATAAGATGAGGTCACATTGGAGTCCTTACCAAACGAGGAAGCTTGGACAGAGACATGCAGAGGAAAGGCCACATGGAGAGACACAGGGAGAAGACCACGCGGAGCGGCAAACCCCCAGAAGTTGGGAGACAGGCCTGGAACAGATTCACCCTCCAGGCTCTCAGAAGAGCCAGCCAACCCCACTGATACCTGGATCTCCATTTCTGGCCTCCAGAACGTCAAGACAATACATTTGGTATTGAAGCCCCACTGTTTGTGATCCTCTGTTATGCAGCCCTAGCAAACCAATACTAGGCTGGAACTGGGCAGGGGCTCCCTGCAGTAGGTTGGCGTGCTCTCAGGATCCTTCTGGCAACAGCACGATTGCATCCATTTCTGAAACTCTCCCAACCAACCCGGCTAATTGCACAGGCCTCTAGCCATGCTGAGTAAGAGTCCTTCAGAGGGAGGACTCTAGGCAGCCAGTTAACTCTGGTGAGCTCCTTCCCTCGGTTTCCCTCAGGTTGCCAGCTTGTGGGAACACACTTAGATAAGTGGCCAGTGTTCGAAAGCACACACAGACATGTGTATATGGGCTCACCACGTTCATCAGGTTCTCGTGGTCCCCGCTGTGCTGTCTCGGCTTCTTTTCTCTGAAATGGAAGAGAAAACATTGCCGTGATGTCAAACGTGCCGTCTAAAATCAAACAGACGCTCCCCTTGGCTATCCGAATATTTGTCCACATTTAAATCTCTCTTTTAGGATCCTGGTTTGTTTTGCCAAAGAAGCAAAAGCTGGACCGTGACTCCATCACTCCTTTGCAGGCGTCAGGATCTGAGGGGGGTCAAGTCACAGCATGAGACCCGTCACCTCTCTAGCTCTCTTTCTCCCAGAGTAGAAAATAGAAGTTCACAAGAGGACTGAGGCACATTCCTGAGCAGAACCTTGTCTCGACTCTAGAATGCTGGAAATAATTTTACCTGTTTTTTCCCTTTTTTAAAAGAAAACCCAGACAAACTCAGAGTTGACTACCCAGTGCAATGGGACTGGGAAAAAAATGAAAGAAAATACAAATTTTGGCACGTTGGGAAGGATACATGCTCTCAGGATGAGTCATATGTACTTCCAGTCTATGGAAAAGTCCATCGAATAAAAATAGAATTTATTTTTACTCGGGACAGTCTAAGGAAAGCCATCCGTACTAGAGAATACATGTCCCGCATTTGTCAAGGCAACAGTGACGCCTAGTGGGAGTGTAAATAATTACAGGCAGGCCCTCCCTAGTCCAGGGGAGCAAACTCCACCAGCCTCTATTTTTGCACCTTCCTGAGCAGACTCAGATCCAGCCGTAGAGCTCCAGGTCTAAACTGGGAGGAGACTGGAAGGCTACTTGGTTGGGAGAGTCTGACTTTCCTCTTCTTGACAGAGACTTCAGGGTAGGAAGTCCTGTCAGATTTGTAAATGACCCTTGTTGGGTCTCTCCTGAAGTTACTGAGAGGAAGGTTTGGAGGTAGACTGGCTGGTTTGCTCCAGCCCCACGGCACCAATCTGCCAGGAGGCTGCATGTATCCTTCTTATTTTACAATTTTAACATTGATTCATTTTTGAGAGAGCGAGAGAGAGAGAGAGCAAGCAGGGGAGAGGCAGAAAGAGAGGGAGACACAGAATCCGAAGCAGCCTCCAGGCTCTGAGCTGGCAGCGCAGAGCCTGACATGGGGCTCGAACTCACAGACCACGAGATCATGACCTGAGCCAAAGTCGGATGCTTAACTTACTGAGCCACCCAGGCGCTCCTGCAAAGTATCCTAACAGCGTCTGAACACCTGGGAAATCACTCCCAACGTGTTAGAAAGACCTTTGGTTCTGAGCAAAGAGCTTTTATTTTGGGGGGTGGGGGCACAGACATTCCAAATGAGGGAGACATGGAAGGGAAGAAGACGCATAACTCTAAAAACAACCGAGATGATTATTTCATCGTCTTCTAGGAAAATTAATGTTTCTTAAGAAACTGCAGTTCTAGATCACAAAACTTGAATAGTCCTTTCAAACCACGTAATAGCAATTATAGTCAGTAACTGTCAAGTGGCAGCAAAGAGGATCTTTCGTGCACATCACACTAAGATTTCCAAATGTCCATCGACAGGAAAACACAACATAAATTTTAACAACGATGTGCTCAAAAGAACAGCAAAATTTCATTTTGGGAAGTTTCGTATACAAGGGCTCTCCCGGTTGCTCCTGAGCAAAATCAAACATGGATTTTCATTCGATGAATACAAAAAACGTCCTGAGATGCTCTGCAGCACAGAAGCTAGTTAATTTTAGAAACACAGGGGTTTCTGTCAATGTCTGTGTAGCGGGATTCTGTTTATAACATGCTTTTCCTACGAAGAGTCTTCTGGGCACAGGGAATGGGTCACTTCAAGGTTCCGGCGGATACACGGGAGCTCTCACCTGTCACAACTGGAGCACAGAAAGACGAGGAAACTGATGAGGAAGAAAGTGACGAGAGCCGCCAAACTGCCCCACAGGACCACCTGCATCTGTCCGCTGCTCAGCACGCTCCCCGAAGGTCCCATGGCGGGAGCAAGAAGTGGCACAAGCTGGTGGGTCAGTCAGTCCTTCACAGGTGGTAACATGGGCACAGAGTGCTTCGTCCTCCTGCGGAGAGACCACTGTGTTTTGAAACAGCTTCTCACGTGAAGTGACACAATCTTGAGATTAGTGCATGTCAGGAGGAAACCTTAGAGCAAAGGCAAGGATGTGTGTGCGGGACGCCCTGCACTCACCTGGACACCTGCCTCTGGGCAAGTCCCCTCTGTTGTCCAGGCCTTTGTTTTCCTAACCTAAAAACGTACATGGGAATGCACGAGTACCCAGCAGTGCTTGAGGCAATGCGTGGCTTCTTAGTTTGCTATGTTTGGGGACAGATTCTTAATGTCCTCAAATAAAATTCCAGATAGTCCATAGCAAATAAGTGCTTATTTGCATTTTTTTTTCCCAGAGTGGTGTAAAGCATTTATTATAGCTTTCGCAAAAATGCAGTTCACATTTCCCCACCTATGTCCCTAGCTCCCAAACCTACTTTTCTTCGAGAAGGTCTAAGGCCAATACAATTAACGAAAGAGAATGTCTTTTATTCACTTGCGTAACAGTTATCTACTGTGAATATGTAACTGTTTTCAGGGCCGGCTCTCACTGTGCTTCTGCGAGCCCTCAATAAGTACATTTTCAAAC